AGTATAAAGTACTCCTAAATAATCCTTAAGCTAGGCCTGGTTTAAGATAAAAGGGTTTTGAAAATCTTAAATTTACCTTCACTTAAGACCAACCAAAAACCGACAGCGTAGTGTTCACTGTTGGGTGGGTGGTACCCCCAAACGAGTAGGTACTCAAGTTTGGTTCTTGGATCCCGTACGTACGTTTTAACCCTAGCCACCGGGGTTCATACCCGCAAGGCCTAACTTAAATAGGTATATCTTAGAGGTCTTCTAGATACCTTTCAAATCAACATTAATATGGGTATATCTTAGAGGTCTTCTAGATACCCTTAACAATATATTATTTTCATATTCATCAATATATTCATTATGATTTAATCATTCACAATTATCATTTTTAATCAGAATATTTATTAAGATTTATTCATCATAATCATCAATCAATAATCATTATCATAATCATTAATCAGCATAATATTCAATAACAATTAGCGGCCTAGCTTCGGGTGTTAACACCCTAACTTATCGTCATGCATCACATAACATTTTATTTGTTAAAAATATTACTTTCAATGTAAAAAATCATTTTTATAATGATCATAATCAATTGGTATCAAAAATAGGATTTTAGGGCAAAAAAATAACATTTTCAGACAAATTTTTGGATCAGAAATTCGGGGGATCGATCCAGGCAGTGTGATCGATCAAGGCAGTGTGATTGTTCAGGGAAGTGTGATGGATCAGGGAAGTGTGATCGTCCGGGCAGTGTGATCGATCAGGGAAGTATGATCGATCCGGGCAGTGTGATCGATCAGGGAAGTGTGATCGATCTGCGCAGTGTGGTCGATCCAGGCAGTGTAGTTTCAGGTTACTGTTCATCGTCTTCTACCTTCGGTCCATTTTCGGAAATATCATTTTTAGTTACCAAACTTCAATTAAACTATATAGAAATATTCTCCAAGGTTCATAGATCATTTTGGTATCATTAATTCATGATTTTAACATCAAATTCAAGGTTTATGATTCTTGGTTCTTCAAGCATGTCAAATACAAAACTCAACCAAATGACCATTTATGAACGTAAAAACGATCTATACAAACATTCTAGTCACTAGATATATCTACGGGCTTACCTCGAAGCGTAATGGAGGTTTTGAAGTTTTTCCGGCGAAACTTCCGGCGAGGATTGTGCCTATCTCCGGCGACGGGAAGCTCTCTTGACAGCACTACTCCACTCTCTACACTCTTAGCTATCTCTTGGAAGAAGAATGGTGAAAAATGGTGAAGTTTAGAGAGGTTTATATAGTGGAGTGGAGAGGAAGAAGACACAGGTTTGGTGACATCCGTTTCCCTGTTCTGGCGTCTCGGTGGAGGGAGCGGCAATTGCTAGGATTCCCACACGCAAGTCCCTGATTGGGACTAATTTGGTCCCAGTCGGGGAACACTTTTTGGTCCAACTTTCTCCGAATTGAAATTCAATTGAACCGTTGGAATCAGATAGTCAAACTCTACATAATGATAAAATTTTTATTATTTATTGACCAACTTTATAATTCACATATTTTTGGGTCTTTCTCAGTACTTAATTAATTATCAATTAATTAATTCTGATAGGCCTATTTTCGTGGCGTTACATTTCTCCCCCCCCTTAAAATAATTTCGTCCTCGAAATTACCTAAGTCATTGATTGAGGAGGTTCGGATATTGCATTTTTATTGACTCTTCAGTTTCCCATGTTGTTTCTTCAGTCGAGTGATTCCTCCACAGTACTTTGACTAGAGGGACAAATTTGTTTCTTAGTTCCTTGACTTCACGTGCCAAAATTTGGACAGGTTTTTCTTCATAAGTCAAATTTTCATCAAGAGTTACAATTCCATCAGTCAAGACATGCGATGGATCAGAACGGTATCGTTTCAACATTGACACATGGAATACATCGTGAATTTTGTTTAATTCGGGTGGAAGTTCCAACTGATAGGCTACTGGACTTACCCGTTCAGTGATTCGGTATGGCCCAACATACCTTGGACTCAGTTTTCCCTTCCTACCAAATCGCAGTACTTTCTTCCATGGTGAGACTTTCACGAATACTTTGTCATCAACGTTGTATTCAATCTCATGACGTTTTAAGTCGGCATAAGATTTCTGTCGATCGGAAGCCACTTGCAATCTTTCTCTGATTAAACAAACCTTTTCTTCAGTTTCACGGACGAGATCAGGTCCTTCAAGCTTTTTCTCGCTTAATTCTGTCCAGCATACTGGGGTTCTACAACGTCTTCCATACAAGGCTTCGTATGGGGCCATTTGGATACTCGCTTGATAACTGTTGTTATAAGCAAACTCCATTAGCGGTAAATATTGTTCCCAATTGTTTCCAAAATCGATTACACATGCTCTCATCATATCTTCTAGAATTTGAATTGTTCTTTCAGATTGTCCATCAGTTTGAGGATGAAATGCTGTACTAAAGTTGAGTTTAGTACCTAAGGCTTTCTGCAGACTCTTCTAGAATTGCGACGTGAATCGAGGGTCACGATTAGAAATGATAGACAAAGGCACACCATGTAATCTTACGATCTCACGGATGTACAATTCTGCCAACTTCTTCCAGTTCTTTCCAGTTCTTTCCAATTCCTTCCAGTTTCTTCTAGATCTTCTTTGGCCTTTTTTATTTGTCCCACATAGATCTTCTTATTACCTTTTTTAATATTTAAAATACCACAACTATCCCCACTTACTTTATTTATTACACCTTTTCCACCTTATTTAATACACTCCACCCATTTTCATTAAGGGTATTTTGGTAAACTCTCACCTTTTTTCAACTATCTATAAAAACCACAAAAAGTCAAAACGAGAAGATCTTAGGGGGGCGGAGGGAGTAATATATAAAATATAATTACAAAATCTTGTAATATATAAAATATAATTACAACATAGCCATAATAACTCTTAAGTATTTAACATTTTGATATTTATGCTAATTTTATATTCTAATTATTTTTTTAAACTAGCTTTTTATATATGAAAAATAATACTTGCAATATTTTTTTATATCTTAAAAACAATTATTAAGATAATGTGATGACACCACCACTACCACCACCACCAACAACAACAACAACAATAATAATAACAATAATAATAATAATAATAATTTATAACAACAAGAATCAGACTGAGAATAATATAAAACCGCATATAAAAAAATTTTAAAACATTTTTTAGATTTTTCAATTTTTTCTAGTTTTTTCAGTTTCTTTTATTTTTTTTCAGTTTTCCCAAAATTTTCCAGTTTCTACCGGTTTCTTCTAGTTCCTTAGTCCCCATCTCCGGTTCAGGCTGTGTTTCTGGTTTTGAACTTCCGCTTCAGCACCCTGCGTCTCCAGTCTTCTGATTCCGAGCAATCTGATCCAGGCATCCAGCCAGCCAAGTTTATTCTTTGTAGGGGAGAGCGTGGTACGGTGTGGTACAGTATTTAGCTCGTACCGATACCGTATCAAATACTTCGGTTCGGTATAGGATTTTGCATTGTATCGATCCCGATCCCGAAGCATCGGTTCGGTATGGTTCGGTATCGGTTTCGGTACGAATCGGGATGAATATATACATACATAGTTTACATCATAAAATGTAACAAAACCTTATATTTTTGAAAAATCGAAAGTACATTTAACCAAAGAAAGATAAAAAAAATTAAAATGAAAAAATAAAATGCAAGAAATGCTTATGAAAGTTAGTTTATATTTCACAAACTAAAGAGAACGAGTGATAACAAAGTATTATTTCATATATTTGTTAATATTCGTATACTCATCTACAAGAAATAAAAAACTCTTATTAAAGTGCAACTTAAATATAATGAAATTAAACTAATTTGTCTATATAGATTTTTTATTTAATGAAGAAACATAAAAAGATTATTATTTTTATAATATATTAGTATATATGTTCGGTTCGGGAATTTCAGTATGGGAAGTAACCTCGTATCGTTCCCAAATACCGAACCGATCGTTCGGTTCAGTACGGTTCGATTTCTTTTCGGTACTTTATCGGTTTGATATTTTTTGGTTCGGTATTCTCGGTTTTTTCGGGAAATATCGGGATCGGTTCGGTCCTTGCTCACCCCTAATTCTTTGTCCTCTTTTATATTCCCTCTGTCCCAAATTATTTGTCACATTTGCTTTTTCAACAGTCGCGGGAATTTTTGTTTATTTTTACATTTTCATTGGTTATTTGATAAAATAAAATATTCTTGACACCTCTTATTTCGAAGAACTTTTTCATGTAGTATTTTGATATGTAATTTTTATTTTTTATTTCTTTACCAATATGTAAATAAAATAAATTGAAAAAACTTGATATTTTATCTCGATAATAGAAATGTGACAAATAATTTAGGATGGAGAGAGTATATTTCTTTTAATCATTTTTGTTGTAGGGATAGGGTTTTAGTATTAGAAACAGTAAAACTTTCCTTGATATTTATTTTAAATGCATATTTTTTAATATATTTATAAGATTTAGGAAGTAATTTTCTAGACTTTCTAGGAATTGATTTTCTGTCATTAAATACATGTTCATTTTTTCCCAAGAATTTTACAAAGGAAAAAGCTAGGGTGCCACTACATGGGTGCTACCAGGTGCTATCATGGGTGCAGCCATGCTTCGCACAGACAAATACAGACGATAATTGTCTGTGTGACACAGACAATTATCGTCTGTGTTTGTTTGTGCGAAGCATGAGTGCACCAATGGTAGCACCCATGTGGTGGCACCATAGCATGATCCTTTTACAAATAGTCGTGTGAATAACATTAAAGGGGCCCAAATGTTATATATATATATATATATATATATATATATATATATATATATATATATATATATATATATATATATATATATATATATATATATATATATAAAAGAAGCCCACCCAATATGTAAAGCCCAATGCCCCAATCCATTCTTTTACTTACACTTTTACTTAAGCACATACCCACTAAAGAAGAACCCGAACGGAAGAAGGTTGGGACGAACCACGAACGGAACTACTGACGGAAGAACTGAAGAAGCCGCCGCCGCCAGACGCACCGTCGAACGCCGACCCTCAAGCTCCAGCCTCCAGGTATTCCGTATTTCCATATTCATAGCTTTCCAATTTTGTAATTCTTATTTCTTAATTTTCTTTCATTGTTTCATTCTTTAGATTTAAAATCTAGGGTTAATTATTAATTTTTAATTTTAAATTCTTGTTAATTGCTATGAAATAGAGTGAATTAATGGTTCTATATGTTACTTATTTGATTTGGATGAATTGATCTAAATTTATGATATATTTGTAAATAAAAAACTGAAAACTAAAAAGAAATTGACGAAAAAGAAAAAAAATTAAAAACTGAAAAAATGACGATTTGATATGAATTTATGAGATATAAAAAAATTAAAACTGAAAAAGAAAAAAATTGACGAATTGAAATGACTTTATGATATATTGATTTATTTTATTGCTTTTCCATATTTTTTTTTCTAATAATATTGCGTTAATTATAATTTAAATATAATTAGTTTACATATTTGAATTTGTTAGACCATTAAGGATAAGACTTTTAGGGTCTTTTTTCTGTTTTGGCCCTGGCCGATGAATCCTCAAGATTAGCCCTGTTTGCTGCAGGATCTTGGAATTTGGATGTGACTTTGAAAAAACAAAATCTGCCCGTTGTTCATAAACAAAAAAGAAATCAATAGTTTAATTGATGATTTTATATCTAAATATACAAATAGGATGTTTTTATGTAAACTTTTACCTAGTTTTTTTACTTCATATTATCATTGAAGCAAATATAATGCAATTAATATGAATTTAATTTAAATTTTGTGCATATGAGGTCTAATGAGGCTATAATTTCTATTTTGCACAGGGTCCTTCTGGATTTGGGACCGGCCCTGATATCTACTTGTTTGCTTTTGATTCACGTTCAAACTTCTTAGTCATGGTGTTCATCAAATCTCCCGATAATCGAACCCTAATCCTAGACTTAAACCCCTCCACAACAACCCTTCCCTCGCTGTGCCTCAAAATCCATGAGAATCACCACATACCCCTTCATAGCCAACGCATATTCCTCAGCTGCCGTCTCCTAACCAACAACGATGTGCCCATCTCACATCTCGGCGTTTCTGTGAATTCCACTCTAACCCTACACGTTCCCCTGCTTGGTGGGATGCAGGCTCCTGTGCAACCGAAGAGCAGGCTTGAGTTTCTTAATACCAAACCACCTGCTAATTATGTTGCCGGGCTTGGTCGTGGTGCCACTGGTTTCACCACAAGATCTGATATTGGGCCGGCCCGAGCTGCCCCGGATCTTCCTGATAGATCGGCCATTGGTGCTGCTGCTGCTGCACCTGCTGGGGTTGGTCGTGGCAGAGGGAAAGGAGGCGGGGAAGAAGACGAAGATGACGAGAATGATGAGAAGGGGTATGATGAGAATCAGAAGTTTGATGAGTTTGAAGGGAATGATGTAGGTCTGTTTGCATCAGCAGAGTATGATGAGGATGACAAGGAAGCTGATGCAATTTGGGAGGCTATTGATCAGAGAATGGATTCAAGGAGGAAAGATCGGAGAGAGGCAAGGCTTAAGCAAGAAATTGAGAAGTATCGTGCATCAAACCCCAAGATTACTGAACAGTTTGCAGATTTAAAGAGAAAGTTGCATACGATGTCCACCCATGAGTGGGATAGTATACCTGAAATTGGGGATTATTCATTGAGGAATAAAAAGAAGAGATTTGAGAGTTTTGTGCCGGTTCCTGATACTTTATTGGAGAAGGCAAGGCAAGAGAAAGAGCATGTTACAGCTTTGGATCCAAAGAGTAGGGGAGTTGGTGGGACTGAAACACCATGGTCTCAAACTCCAGTTGCAGATTTGACTGCTATGGGTGAAGGGAGGGGCACCGTTTTGGAAGTGAGGTTGGATCGCATTTTAGACTCAGTCACCGGGCAGACAGTGGTTGATCCAAAAGGTTATTTGACCGACTTGAAGAGTATGAAAATCACTAGTGATGCCGAGATCTCTGATATAAAGAAGGCCAGGTTGTTGCTTAAATCAGTAACTACAACCAATCCCAAACACCCGCCCGGTTGGATTGCAGCCGCAAGATTGGAGGAGGTTGCTGGTAAGTTGCAGGTTGCAAGACAGTTGATTAAAAAGGGATGTGAAGAGTGCCCCAAGAGCGAGGACATTTGGCTGGAAGCTTGCCGGCTCGCTAGCCCTGGTGAGGCTAAGGCTGTAATTGCAAGTGGTATAAAGGTGAATCCAACTTCAGTGAAACTGTGGCTAGAGGCTACAAAATTGGAAGAAGACGATTCAAATAAGAGTCGTGTTTTGAGGAAAGGGTTGGAACATATACCCAATTCAGTTAGACTTTGGAAAGCTGTTGTGGAGTTGGCCAATGAGGAAGATGCTAGACTTTTGCTTCAGAGGGCTGTTGAGTGCTGTCCGTTGCATGTTGAGTTGTGGCTTGCTCTTGCTAAATTGGAGAATTATGACAATGCTAAGAAGGTACTTAATAAGGCAAGAGAGAAGCTCCCCAAGGAACCTGCCATTTGGATAACTGCTGCAAGACTGGAAGAAGCTAACGGGAATACCACTACGGTTCTTAAAATCATAGAAAGAGGTATCAGGGCATTGCAGAGAGAAGGTCTGGAAATTGATCGCGAGTCTTGGATGAAGGAAGCTGAGGGTTGTGAAAGAGCTGGGTCTGTCCTGACCTGCCAGGCTATAATAACTAACACCGTTGGACTTGGGGTGGAAGAAGAAGACAGGAAAAGGACTTGGGTTGCTGACGCCGAAGAATGCAAGAAGAGGGGATCCATTGAAACAGCGAGGCAAATTTATTCTCATGCCCTCACGGTGTTCAGGACCAAGAAGAGCATCTGGCTTAAAGCGGCACAACTGGAGAAGAGCCACGGAACCCGGGAAAGCCTCGATGCTCTCCTCCGTAAAGCAGTTACATATATACCAAATGCTGAGGTTCTATGGTTAATGGGTGCCAAAGAGAAGTGGCTTGCCGGTGATGTGCCTGCTGCCAGGGCAATTCTTGAGGAAGCATTTGCTGCAATTCCAGATTCCGAGGAGATTTGGCTTGCTGCTTTTAAGCTCGAGTTTGAGAACAAAGAAACTGAGAGAGCCAGAAAACTACTTGCTAAGGCTCGAGATAGAATACCTGGGGCAGAACGTGTCTGGATGAAATCTGCAATAGTTGAGAGAGAATTAGGGAACATAGAGGAAGAGAAATTCCTGCTCGATGATGGGCTGAAGCGATTCCCCTCCTTTTTCAAACTCTGGTTGATGCGCGGTCAGCTTGAAGAACGTCTTGGCAATCTGGAGAATGCAAAGAGTACATATGAATCTGGTTTGCAGAACTGCCCAAACTGCATCCCCTTGTGGTTATCTCTTGCTAAACTGGAGGAGAGGATTAGCGGTGGATTGAGCAAAGCTAGAGCAGTTCTTACCATGGCCAGGAAGAAGAACCCAAAGAATCCTCAACTATGGCTTGCTGCAGTACGGGCTGAGGCCCGGCATGGCTACAAGAAGGAAGCTGATGTTCTTATGGCGAAGGCATTACAGGAGTGCCCGACAAGTGGTATACTATTGGCCGCTTCTATTGAGATGGCACCACGTCCTCAAAGAAAATCTAAGAGTTCAGATGCTTACAAGAAGTGCAACCAGGACGCATATGTTCTTGCTGCCATTGCAAAGCTGTTCTGGAACGATAGGAAGGTTGATAAAGCGAGGACGTGGTTCAACCGGGCCGTCACAATTGCTCCGGATATTGGGGATTTCTGGGCTTTGTTTTACAGGTTCGAGGAGCAGTTTGGTTCTGAAGATACACGGAATGAGGTGCTGAGAAAATGTGTTGCTGCTGAGCCTAAGCATGGCGAAAAGTGGCAATCAATAGCCAAGGCCGTGGAGAATTCTCACAAGCCTACGGATCAAGTTTTGCAGCGAGTTGTTGCTGCACTGAAGAAAGAAGAGAATGCTGCTGCTGCTGAAATCAACGAGTAACATCAGTCTGCACTAGTTTTGGATGTTCTTTGTGATTTGTTATCTTTTTTAAGATATGCATAGCAACAAGGAATTGCAGTCAGCTACTATGTTTGATTGAGGTATTAACTCTTGCTCGTAAATCTTCATCTTTTCGTGCGTGGGGTTGAACTTTCACTCGTTGCATTGGAATTTTTATTCTACTTGAAAAAAAACCCAACTTTCCCATCTTTTACAACCTTTCCTATCCCTGTTTTGTATTCATTAAACTCTCCTTTGTCTGGAAGTAATTGCTGATGTAGTATTTTCATTTACTATATGTATTTACCTAGTATGTGTCAATTTGTTGTTTAGTATTCCCACCATTATATTTCATAAGAGCAATTATGAAGGTCAACTACATATACTGTTTCAGACTTTCAGTCTCATCACAAAAGAGTGATACCCATACAGAAGAACAGAGGGGTTAAAACACAATACTCATCAATCATCATTTCAGCTCAAATTGTTGCAAAGGTATTCTCCATACTAACTCTGGTTTGATTTCCAAGAGGTTTACTGATTGATCAATTGTATGCTTTATGTGGCAATAAAAAAGAAACAGTGGAGCAAATATCCCAAGAATGCTGTTCCCTTGATAGAGTCCATTTCAGATTCTTGAAATCTTCACTAACACTTTGTTTGGTTCAAGGAAATTGAAAGAGAAATGAAAAGAAAATGAGAAGGAAAACAATTCTTCATGTTTTGTTAGAAAGGAAATGAAAAGAGGAGTGGAAGGAAAGGAAAATTAGAAGACAACATATACTAAGGGGAGGAAAAACCAAAATCTTCCTATTTTGTTGAGGAACATGAGAGAAAATCATTATCTTTTCTTTTCCTTCAATAATCCTTGAACCAAACAAAGTGCAAGGAAAAGAAAAGAAAAGAAAATGGTATTCTCTCACTTCCAAAATCCCTCATCTTAGTTCTTTTTGCCTTCTCATCACTTTTCTTTTCTTTTGCTTGTTAACCAAACAAGAAAAAAAATGTTTTCCGTCTCATTTTCTTTACTGTTCCCTTTCAAATTCCTTGAACCAAACATAGTGTTATAACCCGTGCAAGACGTTTCCCATATTTGAGCATTGCAGCCAGTGTATTATGTTTCCAGATATGAAAATGTAATGTCAATTTCCCCAAGTTCAACTCCTTTTTCATTGCAAGCCATGGCATTCAAACAAGGAAAATGATAGGGGCCAAAGTATTGGGCAATGTGTTTTGAATTTGAGCCATGCTAGGGGTACACCAAATGTGTACCCCATTTGTCCCCCACTCCCTTCTCCACCATTCATTTTTATCTACTTTTTATTTATTTAATTTTTTTAAACATTTTTTCCCATTTTTGTGGTAATGGAGGGGGTGGGGGACAAATGGGGTACACCAAAGGTGTTTGGTGTACCCCTAGCATTTTTCTTTGAATTTACTTACCACCATGACCAAATTGAATTACTATGTGCTCCCTTTTTTCGTTTGGTTTTCATTGGGAACGTTCTAACGGTTAAATCATTTGCTTGAAAAGTTGGTATTTACTGTTACTGTTCATGTCTCTCAATGGGCTACAAGAAAATTGTTGGTAATTTTTAAATTTGGAAGAGTTGTTACTGTTTACCGTTTACTGTTAAAATTTCTTTGTGAAGTGACAAATGCTAAGAGCACCCACATTATATGGTGGACTGAAGGGAGGACTACTACTCCTCTCTTCCACATCACAAACCCAGGATAAAACTTCTTCATTTACTCATCCTTATCTCCTACATCAAAAGAATTCGGAGTACTAAAATGCTATCCATTATACGTAGTATTTCTTAAATGTTTTTTATTAGATATTTATACTATGTACAATTATATGAATTTACAAATTAATGAAAAATATAATTGTACTTTTTTATGATAAAATTGTAATTCATTAATAAAAATAAAAAAGTTGTTTAAATTTAATTCAACAAATGAATTTCAAAACAAAATTAAATTAAAGATCCCTATGCATATTTTTCTAACAAATTGAATTTAATTTAAATTCTCGACATATAGCGTTAAATTGTCACACACCAATAATCTTATTTAAGAGTTAAAGACGAGACACATCTACTTTTTTGATAATTTTTTTATATTTTACTTCTAATAATGTGGATTTCTCAATTTTCATTTGAGAAGAAATAAAAATTTTATTTAAAAAGATTTATCAAAATTAATTATACTTATTCCTATAAAAAAACTACTACCTCCGTCCCATTTTATAACGCCTGTTTCAGTTTACGATGTTTGACTGAAATTATTTTCAAACCATTTTATACGACAAATGGTATAGAATTAAAAAATAAAAATTACATATTAAAAAACTACATCAAAAGATCTACAAAACTAGTAGTGACAATGATATTTTATTTTATCAAATTGCTAACGAAAATAGAGAAATGAAGTGAATAAAGTTTGACCTTGTGAATAGTAAACATGCATTATAATTTGGAACGGGAGGAGTACTTAACTTTCTCATATATGAAAAGAATGGAAGGAAATGCCACATGTCAAGAAGGGATTGGCTCTCCCATCCCATTTCTTCTTCTTCTCCACGAACTAGAACTCCTCCTTCTCTCTCTTTCTTGAGGAGGACTTCTCCTCATTCTCCTCCTTCCAATGCTTGTACTTAGACCTGGCAATCGGGTCAATCGGTTCGGGTCCGGGTCGGATCTTTTCGGTTCGGGTCTCTTTCGGATATATGTTATAATCGGTTCGGGTCGGGTCAGTTCGGTTCTGGGTTTATTTCGGTTTGACTGGTTTTTGGTTTCGGTTCGGTTTCGGTTCGGGTCTGTATCGGTTCGGGTTTGTATCGGTTCGGGTTTGTATCGGTTCGGGTTTGTATCGGTTTGGGTTTGTATCAGTTCGGCTTTGTATTGATTTGAGTTTATATCGGTTTAAATTTATATTAGTTCAAATATAATGTAAACACATACTAATAAATGAATAATATTTGGATAACAATTTGGTTCTAAATTGTCACTAGAATGCTATATTTTGTTTGTTGGATAGTGTATCCACGAAAATCAAGATTTGTGTTTTAAAAAAGCTCTTTAAGATGGTTCAATATTTTTTTACTCATTCATAATTTTTGGAGAAGAAATCTTTTATTTAGCTTATACTAGGTAATGACAGTTAGCTGGTTTTATTCATTTACATAATCATAAGTTTTTACCACATGATTGTGACACCTTTCTTCATTTTTATGCTCAAGTATTTTTTATAGTGTGTTAATTGGCATATTAAAAAAAGAAAATCAACTTTGGTAACATAATTCTTTACATAAAATATGTATTACAATGTAACTATAATTTTTATATACTTTCTATAAAAATAAAAATATATTTTAACTTAGGTTATAAAATACGGAGTACAAAATAAAAGATTTGTACATGAAAGTAGTTACATGGTTTGCACTCATAATTTAAATATGTTTTTTTAGAAACATATCAACATATGTAAAAATATATAGGTAATTCTTTTTTTCCAAATTCATTTGATAAATGAAATATTAATGAATTTGATCAATTTCGGGTCTAATCGGTT